GTCGTTTCGAACTCAAATCTAACGCATCTGCTAGTTTATAGCGCTCGTAACGTGTTTAATACAACTAAAGTATGAGATTAGCTAACTGTGAGCAAACGCCTCAATGAGCGTGTAAGAAACGTTGTTCCGCCAGCAGTTCTTGTTATTAGCTGCCAATGGTGGCAGTTGTTTTGCTAGCTCAAGAAGGTAAGTAACAAACATTGGTAGCTGAGGGAAGCCATTAGTTCATGCTGTTGGCTAAGCAAGTTCTCGAAAAAGGAAAATTGCAAATTTGTAACCATCAAGGTATTGGTATCCCTTGAATTGCCATTAAATTGATATTTAAAATAACCTCTTTCATTGAGTTGGTGATGTGGCGATAATTTGCATTGCATTGCCGTCAGCCAGGAACGCTGTTTCTGTTAAAAGTCGAACAATGTCTACGGCTTTCTTGTCACTGCAGTGTATAGTCTTCTCTTTCACTCTGATGAGTGATACTCATTTATCTACTTCGAAATTTAAGAAGATGAATGTCCTGGACACAGTTTTTTCAGCGCAAATTCAAGTTCGTTCCTGAGTTGCTTAGTTTTGGACGCCCAGAAAAAATATACCATTTAGCAGTTTATCCGTATATCATGCTTTTCATTTTACGTTGCGCCGTTTACTGTTAAACGTGCTTCATTTAGCCGGATGCCAATGCCAGCTACTATCATTCTACTAAAATTTATGCAAACCGATATTATATTTTCAGCGGTAGCTTTCCACTGGTTGCTAAGTGTAAAATTCGTTGAAATTGAGTTTTTCTGCATCTCTGCACTATATTACTATACTAACGTTTCTTCGTTTTGATGACTACCTTATAGTCGAGCTTTCTTTGTAGAAGTCGATGTTTTAGGATCGAAGGAAATCAGCTTGAGGATCGGTCACTGAACAAACAGTGGTTAGCGCGATATTTGGAATTATGCCGAATGACCGTTCTGCAAGATTTGCGGGTTATCAAGGTGAGCAACGTTGCACTGAAGCTGTTGTTCTGCCGTAATTTGAATCAAATTAATTATGCCCATTTTTGCCATACCGCTGTTTTACACAGTATTACTACCATACCTGATTATCATTAGATGAAATTTCATAGAAGTCACTCTTTCATGGTCATTGTCTTTCGTGGTACCGCTTGTACTCTATTTCGATGCGAGTCCTCGCTGACTTCAGTATAGATGCTTTGTTTATCTTCTTATTCTGCAAAGATTTTCTGATATTGACGAGCTCAGTTTATCGTTTTTCCGTGAAAGTGAAAGGCAGTTAACCCACCCCCTAGCGGATCAGAAAATACTGTGAAGTCATTGAGTTAGTGGATGCCGAAATATGTTGCGTTTCTCGCTTGTGATGAATTTTATTTCTTCCATTTATGCTTATTTTACGTTATCATTTTATTGCTTCTTATATTCCATTTTAGCTCATTTTGGCTTATTTTTCACCGCTTATTTCAAGTAGGTTTTTCATAGCTAAACATAAAAAACGATCATAAATATTCGTAGTCATAGACGGTTTTGAAATTGGACTAAGGTGAAAATATTGCGTTTTTCTGCCTAATTACGAAAATCTGATTAAGATCGATCCGGCTGTTGCTGATGTTAATAAATTAATTTTTAGGGTGGTTGTACATCGTGTTTTCCACCAGAGTATGATATTTATAATCGTTTTCTCCTTATGTACCATCGAAGCATATCTAAACGAGTAAGTAACCATATTACCTTGAAATTTCGAAGCATTCTGAATAACGTTGTTAAGTTTTTACCTTCTTAAAATTTTAGCTGAATGAAATTGCAAGTGACACTCTTGAAAAGAACGAGTTGCTGCAGCTTTTAAATTGGGTCCGTTTATACGGGTTTGTAGTATTTTGTTTACTGTGTTTATTTTTGTCATCTTTCTTATGGTTAGAAGTAAGGAGATGCTGGGTCACCGAGGACTTGGAATCAATATTCAGTCACTTTTGCTCGAAAGTCCACTTCTTCCAGAACCAGTCATTGCGGAATTGATTAATAGGTGCATCGATGTTTCGAACGTATGAAACGACTTCTGTTATGCGCTGTTTCAGATTCGTCACTCTGATTAGAAATGACGTGGTTGAGTGGCTGGATCGAACTTTGCAGCAGGAAAAGAATGTGAGTACAACGTTTCTGTTGCCTATACAGGGGATTCAGTGTGTTTTAAAGTATCGCATTCTTGCATCGTGTATGGATACGATCTACAGTTCGACATGCTCAGAAATTACTTAATTTGTTTCATCAGGAAAGTAGTCCTTCAGTTATACCCATTTATTCATGCGGAAATTCATTTAAGCTGAATGATCCTCTTTCAGACCTAAAATGACTTCCTTTCTCTAGGAGCCGCTGCACAGGTACCTAAGAATTTTCAGTTATTAGCTGTAGTGGAGAAAAACTTTCTGGATTTTGAACCGTGACTGAATTATGGAACTGAAAATTTCGGGATTTATTGAACAACTGAATTCCAGAACTTAGGTCTAAGTAAATAAAGAATTTTTGTCTTTCCTCCAAATGTTCTTAATGGTCCCATTCCTGAACAGAATAATGTGACTGAATCTATTTTCTATATTCTTTTTCAAATTACTCATAGAGTAATCATAATCAGTGGGATATACTGGTTGCTAGTCAATTGCTAAAGAAATTATTAATGAATGATTCAGATTTACATATTTTTCTCATGCATTAAAATGATTGTGCAAAACTTTGCGTGATTAACTATTTTAATTTGATTTTCTTTTTTAAACGAATAGTTTTATAGCGCCTGCATTACGTTTTGTATATCATTTGACTTATAAAGTCCTTTTAAACATGGTTCCATGATCTATACGTTTTAATTTCATAGGAGTGGTACGAAGGAGCAGCTCCAGAAGCTGACATGAATGGTCACTATTACACGCCACTGCCATCGATTTTGTTTCAAATGATCGATGACCAGGTATGTCATTTTTCTTTAGTATATTGTTTTCACCGTTTCGAAGAAAGATGAAGAAAATAGACAAGCAAGTACTAGTGTGCATGGAATGAAGTTGGAATTTACAAATTGAGCCTGCTACAGCTTCGAGCGTTAAGTACATAACTGAAACGCCCTTGACTGATGGAATCGAAGGCAATATGCACTAAATTTTAAGTTGAATGAGTGGCATCAGTCGTAAATATTGAAGTGAACTTTGCATCCCACTAAGTGCAAATGTTTTTTTAATTGTCGATCGCAGTCGGTCACTAGACGAATAAGCTGATTGGTCATGTGATCCAAAAATTTCTAATCTTTTTTTAAGACATGTTTTCGTTTCCGCAGGGGTTAGATAAGATCAGCATTGTTCCCTTTCGGGTAAAGACTCATCGATCACTCAATATTTTCATTTGAAAAAAACGGCTGATAAAACGGACCGTCGCTTGTAGTCCCACTTGGTAATAAATGATTATCGTAGTTTACCCACAACTGTATTTGACTCTGCCGGAATTCAGTATTAGCTCACTAGTCACTGCATTTGCATTCACTGATCATATTTATTGACCGCGCCAAATTCTAAATTTGTTGATAAAGCATTCTTTTGCCCCTTACACCTGCTGCATGTTCCATTGTTATGGCTACTTCTTTCCAGTGTGTGTTCTTGCCAGCTCTTAGGGATCTCGAAGCCTGCCGCCCAACAGACCAGATGTCAGCTCTACTTTCGTTACATGCTTTAACGGCTAATTGTGTAAGCGATAATACAGTTGTTGCTGGAGTTCCTCGTACAGTCAAGTGGGCTTGTAGCGTAATGATGCAGGGACCACTTCGGTATCGCATATTTTAGCTGCAGTTGTTCCAAGGCCATCCGCACATTCTTTTAAGAAACACTCTATCCTGGAGTTTTAAGTATTTGACACGCTTCTTGGCGGGAGATTTAGATTTCTTCGCTAACTAGATGTAGTGACCAGCACATAATCAAACTGATTGACTGTGCTACTGCCTTTTCAGTACCAGTTTATAGAGGTTTTCGGTGATGAGCTGTGTGTTCGTCAGAACTAGACTATTCATTTCGGCAAAATGGTCTAGCCACTCGTTATTACAATGTGGTGTGCCAAGCTTGTAGCTCCCGTGGGCTTACTTCACGGCATTGCATGCATCCAATACGGGCGAGTAGATGATAATGATAGATTGGCTGGCAAAATTCAACGCAAGCGCGCGTAAGCAAGATTCTAATTGACTGAGAGCCTCGAAAGAACAACAGCATTCGCTTTATCAGGCAGTGCTGTGGCCACACCATGTTGTTCTGAGTTATTCATGAGGCTACTATGGCATCGCTAGTATTGTGTCTACACAGAAACTTTCACCTACTCTCCCCCGCTGTAAATCATGCAGACTTGCGAGGGTCAAGCAATTCCTACTTTGTAATGAATGAGCTTGCGTACCGCTAGGGATTGACTTCTGGAGACAAGTAGCCTACGCCCGTTTCAAGAGGCAATCACAGTGATTGAATTCCGAGTGAATTTTCCAGTTCGTGTATTATTCACACGGGTCACCGGTCTGTCATCCCTGCACGTGTAGATGACCGTGGAAGCGTTAGCATTAGACGGAGTAATTTTTATCGACTTTCAGTGAGTTGGTTGGTAGAGACAGGTTTAAAACTATCGAAGCCTTTTGTTCTAGCCTTTGATCTTCACAACAGGTCTAGCCGTTTGGTAGCGGTGGCATTGGTGACCTTATTCCTGGCGGATCATTCTCGCCTCTTCTAGTTATATATGGTTATTTCATATATAATTGGTTTGATGGAAAATATAACCCCGATCTTCTGGAGAAGCTCTCGATACCTCCATTGAAAATATGACATTAAAATTGTGAAACAGGTTTGAAATGGCAAAAGGCAAAGAAAGTGTAAAGAAAATACTACGGAGCCGCTTAAAGAGCATGGAGCAATGACCTGCTTAAATGGTCCCCTCTGCGTTTAGAAGCAAAGGGGCGGTGCAGTACTGCTGCTTTTGTAAAGTGAGAAATTGATTTTTTTCTGTACACTGTGCATTTTTGCTATTTCAATCCGGTATGATTATTTTTAATTTGATGGTTAATTTGAGGTTGTTTTGCGATCATCATCGGGCGCTGTCAGAGCTTGAATAGCAGAGTAATTCAGATTTTTGATGTTTGACTGTTAGACACGGTATTTCGAATTGATTGTTATGCAACCTTCTCTGCCGCGTAAAGGGTCGTATTCTATGCCCCAGAACGTCTTTCTCAGCAGGTCAGCGGGTTTGCTATACCCGTCCTCAGCTATGCCCTGATAGTACCCAGTGTTGCTTGTCTATGGATGCTTATTTATCACAGCTCACCCATGTCTTGGGGTCGTTCGTTTATCCTGAAGCGGGATACGTGCCAGATAGTCCGCCGCTATTCTCTCTGGAATAAAAACAAGTTTTTGCATTACTGAATCATTAGATTTGTGGTATTTCGAAGAAATTCATGAAAAGCATTTTAAAAAATCTTTGGAATCGTTAGCTTGTTTGCTTTCCTTCTAGCCCAGCTTTAATAACGAAAAGTTTAAACAAATTACATTCAAAAATTGAGAAGTCTCGATTTGTTGGAGTTTCGTATGCCATTGTTTCAATTCTTGGTCAGTCCCGTCACCCAGATTCTTTGTATTCTGTGATGTTGATGAAATCAAATTTTTGCAGTTATCATATTCTCAGAATGGAAAAATGTTAGACACTGATGTCCGGTGACAACTTGGCATCATTACCAGCTGCGTTGGTATGAGTATCGCTTTGAAAACGCACGCCAGCACATTATTCGTACATTGGAATAAAAGTCAAAAGTAGTTTCTCACGTTTCTCACTGCAATTTATAAATAACCAAGAATTTTAGATGCAGACAAAACTTGGAGGCTAACAAAGATATACACACGTGTTTCCAAAATTTGTGCACGACGGATTGTCGATTGGAAACCCCAGACAATCCATTTGTCCCAGTCGCTTGGTTTAAACAAGTCTGACGACTGCCTCTGCACATTTTGCCTTTTCTTCGTTAACAGTCACTTCAGACGTCCCATCTGGAGACAAAATGAACCCTCTGCAGTAACAACAAAGGTTCAAGGAAACAATTTGTCAAGTTAAGTCGAGCTGTGCTAAAAATGTCTGACTGCGCGAGCTCCGTTTAAAAAATTTGCCTTTCAGATGTCACCGTCATTTCTTGTAGACGCGAGGTCTGTTACATTATAAATTGGTTAATGCCTGCAGTGTTTTTTTTCGGGGTGATTTGGCAATACTGAGGAGACAAAATTGTTGTTTATGTGTTCCAGGAATGCATCCGCGAGTATGAGCGGCATTTATTAATTGACAATATTTTTGCCACATTTTAATGACCGTGGAACAGTTAATATCAGCAAATTTCGTTCACGTTATAGTGTTAATGAAGAAAGGAATGAAAATTTACTGAAACGTTTTTCACATTACTGATTTAAATGTTTCACAATCCTTGATTGAAGAGAATGGCATGGAAGAAAGTAAAATACGAAAGACAAAAGCTGATGTGTTAAAATATTATCTAATATATTCGGAAAAACAGCATAAAATATAGTCTATTGATATACAATGCAAAACGTGTGGTCAGTCGAATAATTGATTGGTACCGACATTTCGACTCGTGTTTCCCGACCCTTCTTCAAGATAGGAAGTTCATAGAGCTCAGAGGTCTTTTTTCTTTTACGCAGTAGTTGGTGCGTTTGGAGACAGAAGGCAAGCTTATGGTCCATGCTGCTGCAAAATTCAGGATCTAATATATTGTTTTATATTTTATATCCCTAATGTTTATGAACTCTGTTGTATTAAACATGAATATTATATCTCATGAACTGCTTGTTTCTTTTACTTTTCTTTGGATTAAAGGGTACACGTTTTATTTATGCTGGATTTATGAATATTCTAAAAGACAAACGTTTGAAAGACGAGACCGTCAAAATTCTGCAAGAACAGGAATGCTTCTCTATCAAATTTCTCATGTTTTGTTATATTTTCTGAATGTACCTCTTTAAACAAGAGACATTTTATTAAATGTAATCAATATTTACTTTTCACTTTCTCTGATTTAGAAAAAACTTGCGATGGAAGCGGATCCAAGTGTCGTTCCCAAAGTTATATTAATGTGTCTTCAAGAGATGGTTCCCTTCTGTACCAGATATAAAGGTAAATGAACTCTTTCATTGCGCGAAAAATTTTAGGAGGTTTGAGCGAGGAAATATCATACATACTTTGGTGATTTGTGATTGTTTCACTCCGTGCTTAAGAGCTCAACTGCTTTGGAGTTGGAATTACGTTAATCTGAAAGTAACAAGTTTTGCAACAATCAGACGTCTTATTAGTCACATACAAACAAAAATAGAACCGAATGGTCTTCTACTATTTGTGTTGCTTTCACCTTTTTTCATAATGTTGATAAGCGAAAGAATCGTAGTTAAAACCTTGAATTATAAAGCCATTTCAAGAAGCTTCCAACTCCTTGTGATTCTTCTGTGCAAATATCTGGTTTGTGCAACAGATATTCGTTTAGGTTATGATGTAACGATCTACTCCACGTTTGCCTTAAGCCATCTCAGAATTTTTATTTGCACATGATTTATGCAAAGTTTGCATGTCCTGTTCGTATGGAGCTAATAGAAGACCGTCTTCCACGCAGATCGAAATCAAGTTGACGGATGATATTCTAGACTAGAAACAACTTCTGCTAGTCTATTGCGTATTTTCATATTACTTAAGAGTTACCGTGAATATTTTCGAGATAGTCCGTTAAAATTTTGTGGGAGGCATTTATTTTTGCATGGCAGTAAAAGTATTTTTTCTATGTTCATTATTGAGCATCCACGCGCGATTGAGTCTTTTTGTTCAAGAGATCATCAGGTAATGAAAAACCATTCTCAATTTTTTCTGTCTGGTCAAGTTTTTTTCTTCTTCCAAAGAAGTTTTCAGAATCCTCGTCCTCCCAATTAGACGACTGTCCTAAACAGATTTTCTATTGGGATGGAACCATTCCCGGTCCAGTGCATTCTATTCATAGGGTCCTGTATCAGTGCTTTAGCTGCCTGTCATCTGACATTGTAAAGCGCTTCTGTTTGATATATCTCT